CCCTAGCCCCTCCTGTTATCCCTGCTGCTGTTCAGTCCTAACTTGCATTTCCTGCTATGCCAGTCGTAGGACAGCAGACTGGACAACGGTGACATGAAACTAGGAGAGGGCTCACTCATTCCACATGTGTCCTGTGTGGGATTTGAAGCCAAGGAGCTACAGCTCTCCCTCTTTTCACCTCCAAGCTCCAAGTCTCCATCCTCACAGCCAAAGCAATGAGGTGGGGAGACATCTCAGGATCCATGAGAACCTGAGACTTCAGAAAACAGATTTGTATCTGAGCCTCACCTACTTTTAAAGACATTAACTACCTGGCCCTCTTCCACCTGGGAGCTGGGGGGCCTTTACAAATGCCAGCCAACACCTGCACAACCTCACAGAGAGGCAAGCAATGGAGCTGGAAGCATCAGTAAACCTACCAATGCAATGTACCTGCCTCTGTGAGAAGGCAGCTGTGTAACTGCACACAGCCAGGAAAGACAAACCCTCCATCCAGCAGAAAGGGTCAAGTGGGTGCTGTGTGACTACTGAGGTGGAGTTTGATCAGGGCACCATGTTAACCAAGAGTTAATACTGTGGAAGAACAATGATTGTAAAGATGCCACCTTGTCCTTTGGAGCTGTAAAGATAGAAAAGAACTAGGGTATCTGCACGGGACAAAGGGACAGTGGGAATAAGTAGAATGCCTGTTGGTTGTAAAGAGGGGACACATATTTCTATGTTCAGTTTGTTAATCACTTGTTTTCCTTTCAGCCAGCTTTTCCATGTGCCTTGGCTCAGCAGAGCTTCTATGAGATTAGTGTGAGCAGCCAAGCCTGTCCCAAAGTGACATAATGCAGCAGGCTCCATGTATGGAAAAACTAAACACATGGCTCACTGAAAACCACAACTGAGAAAACTTTGGTTTCAAAAATAAAGGGACTGGTAAACATTTCCTAACCTGTTCCTGCTGCACAGACAGATTCCTGTGAGGTGCAAGACACGTAATCACTCTCTATCACAGGCAGTATTGCCAGGGACCCCATCCTTCTTCTGC